TTTCGGAGCCGGCGGATGGTCTGCCGGAATACTTTGTTTGCCGTGTGGAAATTCGACTCCAACACCTCAACGAACTTCTCCCAGGAATCAGCCTTGGATTTTGCCACTGTTATGGCTGCCGCCTTGCGTGCCTCGACGTATCGCACCCGTGTAGATGGCTCCTTGTTTCCAAGCTATTTCTTGAACGCTGCTTTCTGCTCTTTAACTACCAGTTGTACTTCTTGTGTCCACCATGAAGATCTTTTGTGACCTCCAGACGGCAGGCCAACCCGTTTATATCCGCAGCATTCGGCAGCAGCCTCGAGTAGGCTTCTCTTAAATAGCTGCCACTCGGTTTCAACATCAGTTGTCATCATTGGGATATGTTCAAACCATCGTGCGATGTTATTTGGAAATTTTGCACTCGTGTCCACCGAAGATAATGTTTATAATGTTTCTCATTTGATTCTCCGGTTGCTTTTTCCACAAGATCTTCGTATGGTACTCCATTTCTTACAACGCAGCGTGTCAACAACAAGGTGATGATCGGTTGATAGCTCTGCGCCTGTTTCAACACGAACGTCCATTCTGAGCGTCTTAAGTCAGACGATACGATTATCAAATCGATCATCAACTTCTGTGCACAAGCTTCCCGGTACCAGGTGTACTGAAACGCTTTTCGATGCTCGAAGAAGGTTTTCATAATGGACAACCCGTTGTTTGCAGAAAACCGCAACAACTTGATGCCGTTATTGTTTGATCGCTAGGGCCGTTTTTTCCAATCACGCCGTTCCACTTTTCAACGTCTACTCCGACGTGCGCATTAAAATCGTCCATCAGTATGAGGGACTCTGCATTCAGCACTTTGGACAGAGCACATTGCACCTCCTCAGGGTCAGGTGTCATATTGTCCCTCCAAATTGGGCGCACAGAGCTGTACTAGGGTCAACAGTTTAGCCTGATGTAGCTTCACTCAGAGGATTGCTAACCTTCCACTGACTGACTTCTAATCAGTGATTCTATAAGTGTGGTTGGGTTCTACCAGAAGTCCTACACCGGCCTGAACGGGGATCCTGATATCGACACCTGAGAAGAATTGCTTCCACCCCCAGATGTTCAGGATTCCGGAGTGTTGGTGCATCGTTGACGAGAGTCGAACAATCTCGAGTTGGTACTTTATGGCCTCATCAGCGAACTCTTATTTTTTCCCTCTGAGTGAAGATATATTCCAATTTCTGATTGTAAGCTCCCACTGGCGTTGTCGTTCTCTTTGAGCCTTTTCTGACGTATTAAAGTGGCTTCGCGCTGTCTACCTCCTCCGTTCAGAACGGGTAGCGGCTCTGTTGCTGACTGTTATATTCGTTGTTGTTCCACCAGTCTTGGTCAGAAGTTGTTTTGCTGCTGCACTCCCGTCTGGGTGAAGGCGATGAGTTTGTTTTGATCGCCGACTTTTAACAGCCTGCGCGGCCCTTGGTAACCCGATCGACGTCCGAGCTGGTATAATTTTCGATGGCTTCAATACCGCGAAATTTTTCGTAGACTTCGTTACTGTCTCCAACCCTGCTCGTTTCTCAACCGGTGAGGCAGGTAACGGCGGAGTTCTGTTTAAAACTCGACTTTTAATATTTCGTTTGCCAGATTACGTTATTTCTTTTTGTCCCGCCGTCTCTTTCATTTTAAGTAAATTGCCCTTGACAAACTTTTAACCTTAAGTGTTTCTCACAGCCTCATCTGACTCCAACGATCAGACGGCTTAAAAACTAGCAAAACGGTATTCCAGAACTGGTGACAGGCGGAATTAACTATATTTTAACTGCGAAACCTATAATGAAATACGCAGCATTTCACTTACGAAACCGCCGCTTTCCCACACACGACTACTCGCTGCATCAGGCAGGCCGAACAGTGTACATGATTTCCATCAATCTGCTATGTTGCTGTTTCGAAATAACAGCTAGCGGAGGAAGCAAATGTGTTCTGACGGCAAGGTCTGCGAAAGTAAATAGTGCTGCGTAAACAGTGCTCCAGACATAAAGCAATGCTCGGTTTGGCGATGGACGACGTTATGCCTAACTCAAATCTAGCTGAACAGCGCAAGTACGACCGAGTTATTATGACGAAAAACGCAATTAGCGTGAACCTGATATCGAGATTATTGAAACGTCTAAAAAGTGGATTGCATGACAAAAGATAGGCTTACATTTACGTCTACGAAAAGTGACACGATTTCACCTACGTCATGCCTCAATACCTATATGAAAACGCAGAGAGCACAGTTTGCGAAGTTGTGCTGTATCATGTCTTGCACGAATAGTTATGCTATGGCATATCATGGATGTAAGAAGACTTGAAAGTGCTAACAGACTTGCTCTGACCACCTTGGTATCATAGACTGATTCAAATGAAAATGAAAATATTTTTCAGAGTAGTAAGTGTTCTTCAAAATAACTTTTCAAGGAAATCTAGGCACCGGTTTTTCATTAAATTTTACAAATACATGTTCATTGAAACTTAGTATCAACTCTTAAAAATAATGCTTACTTCTCAATAAAGATTTTTTAAATAAATGCACATCTTCTTCATCTTCATCTTCTATGACGATTCTCCTATCGGTTTGCGGAGGCAGACGGATCAGACAGCACTGTCAAAGTTCCGGATCGTGTGCCAGATTCTCAGCTTTGGCAGAAGATAACCGGAGTCTGGACCACACTCTTTCCATATATTTAAACAACGTTCATCTTGACTGACCCTGGGCCTTCTGCCGGTCGGTCGGCTAAAAAACAGTTGCTTAGCCTTCATTTCCGGAGGCATTCACAAGACGTGCCCAAATCATCGCTGCTGTGAAATTTCAATCTGAAGAAACAGCGGCTGTGCAGTAAAGTTGTTTGTCGAAGATTTCTATATTCCCGACTATATCGACAAGCGCAAGGCCAGCGACTCGCCTATGAAAGAATATTTCAGCGATTTGTACTCGGGTTTGAAGCTTTTCAGTCACAATCCACAAATCATGACCGTAGGTAAGCGTGGGCATAAAGATCCACTTCAATACCGAGAACGTCGTTTTCCGACTCAGCGCCGCTATAGTCCCAATGGTTCATGCCAGTTCACGTAAAACGCCACTGGCCATTCCAATTCTCCGGTCAATCTCATCCTAAAATTTTCCATCACTAAAAAGTACGATTACGAGGTACTTGAACTTCTCCACCTGCTCCACTGCCCCTCCGTTAATCTGAACACAGCAACGGGCAGGAGAACGAGAAAGCACTAGGCTTTTCGTTTTAGATGCGTTCACACGCATGCCAGTCAC